TTGAGTAGGGAATTGAGCATATAAATGTACTCTTGAACTTTTCCTCACACAAGACAAAGCTGCAGCAGACATGTCCATGGGTGGTGAACACCGACGAGACACAGAGCTGTGTGGTTCCCAAGGCTTGTTCCTAAATGTGCTTCCTTGCGCAAGAGCTTGGGGGCCCAAATCTGTGGTTGAACCAGATGCTTTCTGAAGTATTCATCTGCTAGCACCAGGCCAGCACAATTGGTTAAATTCGTAGTTAATTCCAAAACACTTTCAATTGAATATTTGGGGTGGGGAAGCAAACCAAGAGCCGCCCGAGTGATCTTGTGCTTCACAGCGAGCGGAACGTCTGGGTCCGCATGTGCCAAAAAATGCTCTTGCACAACACTGAGGGAAGGAAAAAATGATGCAAGTAAAGTTGTGTTGGTCCCAAAAACTGACGACACTTCACTTGTTCACATTGGCTGCTCACCTGGAGCACCCCACAGTCTTCTAGTCAGCTTTGGAGTTAATTTTTGAAGTCATGAAATCATCTTTCCGTGTCACTGAGAAGTTAACTCCTTCAGTTTTCTTTATCCAGTACTGCCTTCATGCCTTTTTTGTTGTTTGTTTTTTTGTTTTGTTGTTGGTTTTTTTTGCAAAGAAAAAACAGTATCAATCAAAAGTAATTTCACAACATTTATTTTCAGATTGCTGAGTTTTTGTGTTTTCTGGTGGCTGTGCTGCTGGCATGGCAACCCTGTGGTTGTGCAAGCTTGGAAAATAAAAAGGCCTGAGTTATCAGTGTTGTTATAAATAATTATTAGAGCTGACAGGATTTTAAATGTTGTTATTTACATTCTCAATGTTAACTTGAGGGTAGAGTGAGAGATTAAAATGTGGCTCTGGCTGTCTGGCAGCTGGTGAGAGCTCCCCACAGAACAACCTGTGGTTGGAGTTCTGTCATCCTTCCTCGGCTGCTCCTTGCCTTGGGAAGGAGGAGGAAAAAGCAACTGGTTCCTTCTCTGAACTTTATCTGCTTGCATAGGTTGTTTTTTTCTTGAGTTTTGGGGGCTTTGTGGTAGGTTGTTAACAATGTATTTCACTTGATAAAGTATGTGCTTTAGTTGTGAAGTTTCTACTAGACATACGTGTCTAGATGCGATTACCAGCAAGCTGGAAAAGGTCAAGGATGCAGGGCAAACTGTTTCCCTTGTGTCAGACTCTGAAACGGGATGGATGTGACAACAAAAACCAGATTTTCTTTTGCAAAGAGCACATCATTTTTAGAAGAACATGATTGTAGCTTGACCAGTAAATGCAAGTTGGGACGTACCTCAATAAACATGACACGAAGCAGTTGAATTAAGCCCAGAAAGAACTGTTTGCTGGGCACTGCATTTTCGTGGATCGTGTGCAAATCTGTGTTTTTATTTTTTTTTAAGGAGTGATTTTGATACAAGTGTGCAGATTGGTGCCAAAACACATCTGTTAGCAGCTTTTAATCTTCACGTTTGACAAAGCCTATAGACATGGACAAATTGTAATTTACATGATGAAACCACAGGGTGATGGATTGCTGCAGTGGTGTGGAACGCCACGGAAAGGAAATAAATTTCACAAGATAAAAGAAAGAGGTTGGAGTGCATTTACTTCTATTATAAGCTTTTACAGGGTATGTGCACTGCTACCTGGACTCAAATCTACTAGAGCAAATCCTCTTCAGCAAATAAAGCTTTTCTTTGGAACTCTGCTGTTTTAGAAAGGAGATTATTTGGCTTTGAGGGTCGTTCTAGAGCAGAGTTTGAATGAACTTGAGTTGCTTTCCAAGATAAACACAACCCCAGAACAAAGCATATCTGGGTTTACTGTTACATACAATGGTGTTTTAAGAGCTTGCACCTGGTGTGGCAGAGTGAACATTAAAAGCTTGTGAGGAATTGCTGGTGGAACATATGGCACAGCCCACTGTGATCCAGAGTGGGTTTGGGCTGGGCACGGGCCCCTTGCCAGGGGTTAAGGTTCTCGTGGCAGCAACAGGCATCAGTTCAACATTTATCGCTGTTGTAACGAGGTGTAATTGCTTATAATCTTTCCTGAAACTCTCTCTAAGAGCTGATCTCTGCTTGTGCCTTCCTCTTGCTTTCAGACACCATAAAATGCCTGATCTGGACTGATGAATTTCCTCTTTATCTTCTTCTCCACCTGCAAAGATGTTGCAAACTTAACAGCTCCCCTGTGGGTTACCATCCATCCTTGGGTAGGGCTCGGTCCAGCAGTCACTGCAGGCTGGGGGTTTCTCTTTTCATTGCCTCTTTTGCTATCATCTTCTGCTCAACTCAGTGTAGGGCTCAGAACCACAAACCTATGTAGAGAAGTAAGCAATACCCCTTTGCTTTTAAAATCATCATGGGTCTTTGTTCAAAGGACTTAATCCAAGTGACTGATCCCATGTCATCTGCTGTGGAATGCAAGTAAGTGGCTTCAGTTTCCCCTACATCTGCTTCATAAAGATTAGCCCCTATGAAATATCAAAGCAGGGTGGATGCTTCAGGGTTGCAGCCCCTCAGTGCTCATGGGGCGAGCCAAGAACCTAAGATGGGAAAGTGCTTCCTGGGTCACTGATGTGTGGGTGATTTTATTTGCAACACGCTGCCATGCGCTCTCTTCCATAAAGCTGCAGGTTTTTATTACAGGGCTGGGGAAGTGTCCTGCTCCTTGTCCCATTCTAAACTGCTTTAGCTCCTAGCTGGTGCTACTGACCTTCTCCTCATTTTCTTCTGGAGGATGCACAGTGCTTCTTTGAGGGCCCGCAGTGCTAGGATGGCCGGGATCTGCTGATAAGCTTGGGGACTGGGCGTGGAGGTCCTGGCACCTACCACTAAGTGTCATGGGAAGTAGATTTTTATCAGAGAAATGACTTAAACTACTAAACTTGGGGCATCCTTTAGAGCTCTCTTTCTGGGTGTGAGATGTTTAGTTCCCTCTTCCCCCCGCAACTTTTTTGTTATGCAAGGGCTGCACCATCTGGATGGCAGATGATACCTTTACATTTGTCTGTTTTCAGTTTTCCTATTATAAATCTTCTGATTTAACTGGTTTCTGTTGCTTAAGCTCTTCTCAGTGTTTGAACTAGCTCTGCTTTAAAGCCAGGCTGCCCCAACAGGGAGCTTTCTGCTGGGGATCCTGCTGTGCCTTCCAAATATATGGAAGTATATATGCTCCAGAGTGTCTGAACCAGATTCTCCCACCACTGCAAATAGCTTTCTACATCAAGTCATCTTTTGCTCAGCCAGACAGGCTCCTTGCAGACAAAAGAGGGGCAAAGATGACAATAAAGGGGTAAAGTGATGTCTGAATGAACATTGTTCCCCATCCAGAATCCAGCACTGACCTCCATCAAGTGCAGAAAATTGTCCTTTTGTCTATCTTAACCAGTTTTCTTGCCTGCTGAAGTAAAAACTATGGTCTTTTTGGAGTTGTCAGAAACACAACCAATTTTTGTCAGTCCTCTCTTTTCATAAGAAGAGCATTTAAAATCTGCTGATGTTATTAGCAAGGCCAGCCATGTTATGGAGTCAGATTTTTGTTTTCTGGTCTCATTCTGTTAAAATCTGCTGCCTTCTAGGTCCATATACAGGCAGCTAGTTTTTGCACCAGAAGATCATGTTTGGTTTCTCCATAGCTGTTGTGCTGAGATGGACTTTGCAATAGTAAGGCCCTCAGTGTATGGGTGCTACCACATTTTCTTCACGTATGTTCATCTGCATTCAGGCCTGTCATCTTCTCTGCCATGAAGTTGGTTTCCAGACCCCCAGCAGTTGAGAGCTGGAGGCCATCCACATCTCCAGCCATTTGTATTGAATGACCTCTCTTCCTTGGGGCTGCATATTTGTCTCCTCCTTCAGCACACTCCTGGTTCATAACCTATTTAGAGCATTCTCCATAAACACTTTACAAGAAGTCTCAAGTGCATTGCTTGAAACACCAGAGACCACTTCTATTTTGTCAACATATCTCTGATAACATCTTAATTTTCCATTTTCATGTGTGGCTAATTAACACTTAGACTTTGTCTTGAGGGAGCTTCTCTCTTCAGCGCTTTAGATGGACCCACCACGTGGCCAGCACTGGTATGTGGTGCTGGAACGAATGCTCCTCACCCCAGCTGGGTGGAAATGGTTTCAATGAATGTTTTGAAGCTGGGCCAGAGAGTGAATCAAACATGAATGACCATGAGTCATTTTGGAAAACAGCCCTGTTGAGGGCTCAGGGGGTGACGTGCCTGCTGCAGATAGCTCTGCTTGCTCGCCCAACAGTTGCACGTTGGCTTCCATGGTCCTCCCAGCTTGTCTTCAGCTGCAGGGCTGTAGCTGCCACCTCCATTGGGTGTGGGGAAAAACGTTGTTTATCATGATGGGTGCTGAGTGTAAATGAACCCGGGGTGCCTGTCATGGAAGTGCTGTATTGCAGGAGTTGAATGTCAGATGAAGGAGCTGGTCTCTCTGGGGAGAGCCCAGCTGGACAGTTGTCTGGGAAGAGCCAAGCCACAGGCCCTGGAGGTGGAGAGCAGGTTTGGTGCAGGGGTAGCTCCATCCATCCCAGCTCGGTGGCTTTTTCCTGAGAAATCCCAGCATCAACTTCTCCAGCCTGTGTTTGCAGGTGTTGCTCCTTTGGGCTTGATTGCTTCTTCACTGCCTCCCTGAGTTCCCGTGTCACTTGTCCCCTTAGGGCACCTCTCTTGGGAGCCCAGGGAGGGGTCCCACAGCACACAGGGTGTATTGCAGTGCAGACAGTGTTTTGCAGAGATGGGAACTGTGTCCCTTGGAGTGGCAGGTACACCCAAGGAGGTGAGCCCACCCCTTTCACCTGGGCCCCAGATCCATGGGAGCTCTGACAGACACCAGTGCCTTCCCCCCTGCATCCCCTCTGCACAGCTCTGTTCCTGCCCGCACGGGGGTAAGTCCGTGGGGTTTTTTGCTCTGGTGACGGGTGCTAATTTTCTTCTCCTTGTCTCTTTTTCTCCTTTAAAGGTGAGCCCCACACCACAGGGTACCCGAGCACTGCTGAAAATGATGTACTGCCCATACTGCCGAGGTCTGGTGTCAGTGAAGCCCTGTTACAACTACTGCTTTAATGTCATGAGAGGCTGCTTGGCCAACCAAGGGGACTTGGACGCCGAGTGGAATATCTTTATGGGTAAGGCAATATGGGTTAAAATCGGTCGTGAGTCTGTATTGATACTGTTTCCTTCACTGGAATGGCTTTTGTGAGTGGCTGTGCTGAGCTACAGCAAGTTTTTCAGGTGAGGGGTATCTTTTCCTTCCACATCTTTTGCAGTTCAAATTAAATGAGACTTCTGTTGTTGTGCCAGTGGCCTCTGGTGCAACAAGCTTTGGGAGGATGGAGCTGCCATGTGCTTGTAGGCTTGGAGCATCTCTTGGTGGAGCAAGCATGTGTGTAAGCTATGTTTTCCATACTACTTCTTATACATTGTTGTCACTATATATAGGTGTCCTTCCTGAAGTGAGTTGTCTTGCTCAGTGGTCTGGGAGTCTCCCTGCCTGCTGGGATGAGCTTTGGGAAAAGCTGTAGGGCCTGTATTTTACATTAAAAAGCTGAATGGGACATGAGTCTGAATCTGTTTCTAAACAGCTCATTTGGAGCTCAGCCACCATTCTTTTCAAATGTCAATGGGCCTTACGTGACGCTGTGCAAGTGCTTTTGCCATCCTCTTCCTCCTGGTTGTTATTTTTCTTCCATGCTTATAAACGGTTTTATTTGATTAATGAAGCTGAGACTGAAATGTTAAATTCTGCCCTGGGTCAAGGCTCAGCAGAATTGGTGGTACATCCCATTTGGGGAGCACAGGCAGTAGATAATGTTAAACGTTTTCATTTATGCTCCTTTTCCACAAGACTTGATTTATCTGTGCATGAGGGTCCTTAGGGAGCAGTCGCTTCACTCCAGTTAATGTGTGATGAAGTGAACAACTAAAGTATCTGCTGCTACTGACAAGGCTGCAGTGCTCTGCCCATCCCACTCATGGGAAAAAAAAAAAAAAAAAGACTGTCAGGAAGAAAAGATTTCCCTTTCGTTAAACCGTGAGATTAAAAAAAAATGGGAAATTGATGATAATTTGCATTTCAGGCTAGATTGAAATCTTAGAACTTGCATTCCTGTGTTTAGTGCACAGGCTTTTCACTTTGCTGCCTGTGCCACCTGGTTGTGTGCAGGGTATTATTTTCAGAAGGCTTTTTTTTCTTTCTATGGATATTCCATATAGGGACCTAAATGTGACTCTAAATTGGGTTTCCAAGTCATTCTCTGGGAGGCTGACACATCCCCCCCACCTCCGTTCCTCCCAGCCATCTTTCTCATGAGAATATTAAGTATTTCAGCTACAATTGTTGCTGAAATAGCTCAAAGCCAGGAGACTTGCAAACATCTAGTCCAAGTAGAAAAGAGGAATCCCATGAAAGGGAAGGGCATAATGCCAGAAAACAGACAAAAGCACAAGCAGCTAATTGCTGTAGGTGGTATGCAGCTAAAAATGAACCTCAGGGGAAGCCAGTGAGCCCAGTCACACGAGACTGATCAGGGACTGCATACAATAATTAAGATTATTAAACAGGACTAAATAAATAAGTGGAATTCCATGTTGGAAGCAAAGCTTTCCTCTTGTAGTGCTTCCTACCCAAGGGGCTTTTTGCCCACTCATTACTTAAGGATGGTATTAAGCCTTGCTACATTTATTGGCAGCACTTGCTTGGTTCTTGCTCTCTGGGTTGATTCTTGCAGTGGAGTAATGGGTACTGAAAACTTATGCTGTGCTTTCTTTAGACAGTTTAATAACTGAACAGGTGCTGCTTGTGTGCCAGATTTTGTTTTCCATCTCAGCTTGCCACTTGAGGCAAATTAGATTAAATAAATCTGGTGTTTGAGGCAGGGCTTATGTCACAAATATCCTCTATGTGTATTTAAGTAAACAAACAAACAAACCTTAAAAAAAAATCCCCCAAAACCACCCACCCCCAAAAAAACCCAACCAAAATCCACCTGCATGGGCTTGATGCTACTTTGCATCATGGATGTAAGTAATAAGTAATGACAATGATTTATTATGTGTCAAAACCAGATTTGAACCTAGTGAAATAATTTAAAGATAGTTAAATGGGAGAGCTTGCAATAAATGCTGCAAGTATCTATGGATTGGGCTGCATGTGCCTGTAAAATTTGCATGCACCTGTGTTAGTGGGTTGGTAGGTAAGTCACTTATCCCAGTTTGGAAAAGCTTTACATAAAAAGTTAGTAGGTGTTTTGAGCCAAGAAGACTTAATACTTCTTTACTTCTGCAAAGTGCTATTTAAAGTTGTGGCATATGAAATCATGACCAAGTTGTACTCTTTTTATCCCATTTAACTGTCTTTACATTATTTCTCCCTCTGTTCCTGACACAATTGTACACCAATTAGACAGGGGTACACTTTGTTTCATACAAGCTGTTGGGGAGATTGGAGCTTTCCTGAATGAACGGTGTTAATCTCCAATGCCTTTTCTTTCTCCCCCAACCCCCCCTCAAAGATTAACTCTGCTCAAAGATGTCGAATTCAGGCTCCATGTACATATCTGGAGGACTACTTTAAGTCCAAAGCTGCTTTTTTTTTTTGCCATTTCAAATTAAAGAAATAAAAGCTTGTTAATGAATGGTCAAGGTCTTCCCCCCCGCCCCCC